AAAAACAAAACAAAAGAAAACAGTTGCTATTGGTATGATATGTTCATTTTCTTTTTTTGGTTGGGATTTTCATCATGCAGTCGAAATAATTTATAGTAACTTTCCGGATTTAATGGTAAATGAGGACATCCGGTGCCCTTCGTTTTATAATCATACACAGTCAAACCAATAAAACATCACATTATATTGAATTTTGAAAAAAACAATGCAGAATTTAAATAAGTAAAGAGTATCACTGGAGGACATGTATACCCAAGTCTCTGAAATATTGATCTAAAACACAAAAGTTGCAGAAGTATCTATTCAATAAAGTTTAAAATCCCTTTCAAATAATATTTATCATGCTACCTCCCATGGATGCCAGTTTTGCCAATTATACGTATATTGTAATTGACAACTAAAACTAATTGTTACTAAAAATAATAAGTAGAAAGATCATTATTTTTTTTATTCATTTTTTTGCAATTTATGAGGATTGTTAGTTTTAAAAAAACTATTCATAAGACAATATAGGTACTTACTTCTCAAAGCACTTGTCTAAATATTTCACAAAAAATATATTTGAGACGTTTATATCTAAAAAGTTGGACAATTATTCATGGTATAAGCACGTAAAATCAATAGTTTAATGTGGTGGATATGACATTTTTGTACCTACAATCATGACGGTAACTTTATCTATACAACAGTTCAACTATTGAGGGTTTATTTATACAAGATGATAGGAAAGGTTTAATTAATATTATTGAGAAAGCAGTATTAGAGACGATGGAAATAGAAAGGTTGGAATAAAAGTTTAAATACAAACAAATATTTTCAAAATGACTATACAATAACTGCAATTAGAAGGACAAGCAATATTTAATTTCGACTTCTGCATAGATCAACATTAAAGTAAACAGGTTAACAGGATTTTTAAAAAAAATGGCTAAAGGTGGAAATATAAATACGGATATTCTTTCTTTTGATCCTAGGGGTTATGGTAGATATACACTAGAACAAGATTCATGCCAATATCAAAGCCTACGGTCTTTACGATTTTCACAAGAAATCTTTTTTATTTTTTTTTTATAAACATGTATATATAAGGAAAATCAATGATCCCTGTGGCGGGATCAATTTTGACCCTGGTGCTATATTTGAACAAACTTGGTAGACATCTGTTAGAAGATGTTTCATGCCAAATATCTAAGCTCTCTTTTAGATTTTCACAAGAAGCTTTTTTAAGTTTTTTACTAAATACATATAAGGAAAATCAATGACTCCTGGGTCGGGGCTAATTTTGACCCTAGGGCTTTTATTTGAACAAACTTGGTAAACATCCACTTGAAAAAGTTTCATGCCAGATATCTTACCTCTAGCTCTTATCTGTTTTTACAAGAAGATTTATTAAAAATGTTTATAAAAATAGTTTTTTGGCAACCAGAATTCTTATGGAACTTAATTTTTGAACAACTTTGGTAGAACTTCATGCAAGAAACATCCCTGCAAAGTTTCAACAAATTTGGTCATGCGGTTTAGGAGGAGAAGTTGTTTAAAGAAATTGTTGACGCAACACGGACAGACGATAGACAACGGACAATGGGCCATCTCAAAAGTTCACCTTGAGGACATTGTCTTCAGGTGAGCTAAAAAAGCAATGGAAAAGTAACAAAAGGCAATAACTCTGTAATTAGTTTAGAGAGAGTTATAGTTCTTGTACACTGTACTTCCTCTCAATAAGTTTGACCATTGTATGAAATTGTATTGAATTCCAACCATTAGTCTTCAAGTTATGCTCCAGACAAGGAAAATGCAACTGAACGCTGGACCGACCGACCACCGGGTGACTCCTTTATACCCCCCAAACTTCGTTTCGGGGGTATAAATATCTCCATATGTATGCGTAACTACTGCAGTAAGGGCTATTTTGCCGATTTTGACATTTGTTTGGTAATTTACTTGGACTGTATGCAATATGTAAATAACTTCCTTTGTACACTTCAGAATATTTTACTTTAAAATACATTTTCCTAATTGATGGATCTTGAGGCATGCAACTAACATAATGCTTAATAATGTTATTTCAAGGAAATTTTTGTTTTCCCTTTAATTTTATATCAGGCAGGAAAGTATCTAACCAACTTCAAGCGTCTTACACACACACATGCACTACACTTAACAATTGTTTCTTAATTATAAACTCTTGTCTGGAGTTTCCGTTAAATAAAACAATGATGTCCATGTGATGTGATATCTTCCTTGTTCTATTTACATTAAAGTATTCCTTCCAATTTATATACATATCATTCACAACTTGTTACAACAAAGAGAAATACTTGGAAAACATCTGGATCAAAAAATAACATGTAATTATTGTTGAATTATCTTAAGTTAGTCCTGAAATGGTTTCCTGTTGAAAGGACAATATGTCAAGTGTCAGTTGAATAGATGCAACTCATGTTTTCCTTGAAATTTTCTTTCTTGGTATTTAGGAAATGATTCAGGGAGTGTTTTGTCAGAGGTTCAAGGTTACTGGAACAAGTTTATCAGTACAGTTTGTACTTACCCTTTAAGCTGTAAAAATGAGTCATTTCTAGCCATATCTTTAAACTGCGGAAAAACGTCGTCATTGTGGTGAACATTTTTTTTTATTTTAGTGCAGTAACAATTTTTTTGCTCACATACCACTGATGTGCGCACGGTTTGAAAACTGCACAGTTCTGATTGGAAAAGCGTGAATCATATAATTCAAAAAGATTGGCGACAACTTTGACGTAACGTTTCTACGATTATGTCAATTTACCACTTTGATGAAAGTGTCACGTCACGGCTCAAATGTAGAGATATAATCATATTGAAATGTAAAGATATACTCATAATAAAATGTGGAGTTATAATCAAAATAAAGTGTAGAGGTATAATCATAATAAAATGTGGGGATATAATCATAATAAAATGGGGAGATATAATAAAATGTAGAGATATAATCACAATAAAATGTGGAGATATGATAAAATGTAGAGATAAAAGAGTAATAAAATGTAGAGATATAATCATAATAAAATGTAGAGATATAATCATAATAAAATGTAGAGATATAATCATAATAAAATGTAGAGTTATAACCAAAATAAAATATGTCAACCATATTATATCCTGTAAATCCTAGACAATGTTTGCTGCAGTAAGAGTTGGTTCTTTTCCATCTATGGTAAAGTTTGAACCCTGAAAAAACTAGAACTATCACTAAATGTGATTAATACCCTCGCAAGACTGCTTCGGAAATGAGGAAGTTACTAGTAACAGAATACCTTGCAAAAGAACTGAAATAGAATTATGGTTGTAGGCAATTAAAGATAGTTGTGGTTCTTGTATGTTGCATTTCCTTTCAATGTGGTTGACCATTGGTGAAGTTCTATTGAATTACTCTGTAATAAGTCCAAAAAGAGTTACGCTTCTTAAGCACTGCACTTCCACTCATTGCGCTTTATCATTGAATGAAGTTTCATTGAATTCTAAACATTAGTTTTTAAGTTATACACCTGACAAAAAAAAGGAACAAAGGGCAATAACTCTACAAATACTGATGATGGATTTATGGTTATTGTACACTGCAAATTTCATAACAATATTTTCACATTATATTAACTGTAAACTCTTTATAATTCGATTAATTTGGCAAGAAGAAAATACCACCAAGCCAAAATGCAATTGTTAAATACTTACACCTAAAATAGTATCAAAGTCTTCTTTTACTGGCACATAAAGAACTGCAATTCGCTTGTCAGAATTTACTTCAATCTGAAACAGTTTCATGAAAATAGACTTTAAATACAGAAGAAAAGCTTTTTTTAAATAGTCTTATAATAATCTTGTCTCTAGAAAATTGAGATAGAAATTACGGTTTCGTGAAAATTAAAAGACTGTAACTATTACATACAATGGAAAAATGTTTCGCGAAATTGACTTATAATTAAAAACAATAGAAAAATGTTTGAAATTCATGAAATTGACTTATATATATTTGAAAACAGTAGAAACACTTTCAAAAATTTTCAAAAAAGTTAATTTACTTCTATTTGAATACAACAGAAACAGTTTTGTGAAATTGACTCATATTCAAATACAGAAGAAAAGGTTTCTTTAAAACTGACTTCAAGTTATGCTCTGGGCAAAAATAAAATCTGTTCATTCCTGTTAGGACACTATCCGGCATCAGTGGTTCTACTCTAGTCGTGCCTGAAATACGAGTAATGCATGGAGGGGTACCTGAGGAATTCATCCACCATTAAAGCTGGAAACTGCCAGATGACATCTACTGTGTTAGTGTGACCAAATAAGCTCAATAAAAATAGATTGAAAAGACGACAAAACTCAGCATGTATACACAAGAAAATTATAGTTTTAAAGCAATAAACTTATCATCTGCATGGCTAAAAATGAAAAAAAAGTAAACAATCTTTAACACTTAACATATTTACTATCAGGTATATATTTGAAGTAATGGTAATTATGCATACTTTGACTCATTTTAGGTTAAGTTTTGGGGAATGTTTATGTCCTATATTAACTAAGTTACTATATTTCTTCATAACTATATATTGACTAAACACAACACTTCCTGGTAAAAAACCAGCACATATTGACAATTGTAAACCTTTATTGTTTCACAATTTATTGAAAAAGGACGTTTATAAAATCAATTGTTTAAAGTGTTTACTTATATATTAATTGTGAGAAATTCTCAGAATATAAGACAGTCTTTCATTCTTTGTTATTACATTCATCACTGATATTTTATTTATAAACATTAAATTCAAGGTGAATGTTATTCATAAAAGAAGAGAAGAAAAAAGTTTATTGTTGAAAAAGCAGTATGAGAGACACTTCTTAAGTGACTGTAGGAATTAAAATCTTTGTTTGAAATGAATGTGAAAAGAAATTGATAATTTTTTATCTATCTTTAGGCGTTGTATAGATGAATTAAATAAACAGGTGTGAACAAGATATTCAACAAAATGGCTACAGGTGGAAAAATAGATACGGATATTCTTTCTGATGAAATATTTGATGTACTTTGTTCAATGTGTAAAAATCGAGGTAAACATTCTGAAGGTGAAAAATTCTGTGTAGACTGCCATGATTATTTCTGTATAAATTGTGTCACAGTTCACAGTCAAGTTCCTGTGTTAGCTGGTCACAAGGTGTTGGATAAATCTCAAGTTAAGTCAGGAACCAGTAAAAGTCTGCCGAGGGAACCAGCAGAGAGATGTGACAGACACAGTCATAAACACATTGATATGTACTGTCAGAATCATGATAATGTCGGCTGTTCTACATGTATGACAATTGAACACAGGTAACTTTTAGCAGAATGATCATTTAACTTTCTTCAATTACTAGAAGTAATCCTTAAAATCTTAAATCCTTTGAGTCTGTCTGCTTAGTGACTTTTTTCGGTCAATTGATTTTTGATCAAAACATTATGGTCAGTCTATGAAGTCATTCTTTTAGTTACTAAAAGAACAATATATTAATCGTTTAGTCAGGTAAGGGCTAGTATATTTACTTATTCATTAATTTCAATATCAGGCACGTTTTCACCTCAAATGTAAGGCTAATTTCAAGTTCACAACGGCATTATGAACATAAAACAAGGCCATTATGCAAAAAGGACGGCCTTTATGGGAAAACACGGCTATTATGAGATTGGAAGATTTTGATTGGCTCTCCAGCTTGGCCATTATAATTCTGCTTTTTTAATTGAAAAAAGTCGCCATTTTGAATTGCTGCATTGTAGATATTCGAGACATTTTAAAAACAAGAATCTCATTTATTTTTTGTTCACAAAGTGCTTAACTTGTTAAGATAATAATTATGTAGTTAAAATTGTCAATAATTAAGCGTTTTCATAATGACGTTGTTATTGGGCTTTAGACTGTCATATTAGCCTTCGACTTTTGGCCTCAGGGTAATGTGACAGTCATCAGCCCAATAAAATGCCATTATGAAAACGCTTGATTATTAACATTATCTTAATAATTCTGCAGCAAACTAAATATAAACATGTTAAACATTAAAACGTCATAAGTATATAAGATAAATTGTTAATTTTTAAAACATTTTTTTATAGCATGTAACAAGTTTTTCTTTAACAAACTGACTTTTTTTCAGATCATGTAAGAATACATTCTACATACCAGAATACATCCAAAATAAATCTTACCTAGTGGCTTCAAGAGCAATTCAAACAAAGCTGAAGGCATTAGCCAGGACCCTTGCTGTACAAGCTAACAATTTTCAACAGGATAAACACAACCTCTTGAAAAGAAAGGCTGAACTACTGGACGATATCAGAAAATTCCGACAAGAAATGAATGACCAACTTGACAAGCTGGAGAAATGTTCTGTAGATGAGATAGAAAATAAATTCAAACTTCTTGAAGACAAGATTGAAGAAGGTCTAAAACAGCTACAAGTACACAAAGCAAAGGTTAAATCAGCTAATGATAAATTAGCCTCTCAAAACCAAAATCAAGCTGAATTGTTTGTTCATGTGAAGATCGGGGAAGATGCTGAGAATGTTACCAACAAATTTATAGAAGATACAAAAATGAAGATAACAGTAAGTGACATAGAGTTTCAACCTGACACAAAACTCTTTCAACAGCTGAAACAAAACAAAACAATTGGCATGCTAACAGAGAAAACTACAAAGAATGACAAGTTACTTGAGATTACAGGAGGACACTCATACTGTGTCAAACTTGAGTCGGATGAAAATGAATGTTCAATCATCAGTGCCTGCTATATGAAAAATGGTACAATAATCCAAGCTGATAACAAAAACAGGAAGCTTAAACGGTTAGATAGTCACAATTATATCATCACAGACTGGTATAATCTACCTGGACAGCCATGGCAAATATGTAAAATTAATGAAACACAAGTAGCAGTAACATTACCCTTCCAGCAAGAAATTTATTTCATTTCTGTAGACAGACAAATGAAAACAACAAACAAGATTGAAACTGGTTTTAACTGTTATGGTTTTGCATATGCAAAAAATCATTTATATATTTCAGACGAGACATCTGTCTTTATCTCCACAATGACTGGCAGGAGACTTAAACAGTTTAGTACTGACCAGTCAGGACAGAAACTGTTCTCTGACATAAACAGTATAGCTGTCAGTAAGAATGCTGCAAGGATTTATGTTGCTGATGATCTTAAAGGACTGATAGTACTAGACAACAATGGTCAGATTGTGACAAGATATAATAGTAAATTATTACAGATGGCTTCATATTGTAATCTCACTGAAGCAGGTAGTGTGCTGGTATCTGGACATGACTCCAATAATGTTTTACAGTTTACATCTGATGGTGAGCTGAAAGGAGAGGTCATAAAAGCTGACAGTAGAAAACCGGCAGCAACTTTGTCAGTTTGTTGTAATCAACAAATGTCTAAGATGTGTATAAGCAGAGATGGAGAAGACAATATTGAAGTGTATGATATATGATCAGTTATGTTAATGAGTACAAACAACCATAATTTATAATCATGGTTATAATTACATGTTTATTTATATAATGATGATGCAATTATATATGTTCATGTCATGTTTAATTTATGTATTATATTTTGTATATGTAATGTGGTGATGAGCTTTTTATGCTTAAACCAAGAAATAAAATTTCTGTTCTGTAATGGTAATTATTTTCAATATCTTAAACAAGAGGGCCATGATGGCCTTGAGTCGCTCACCACAAAGAACTGCTTTTCAGTGTTGGAAATTATCCATTGTCATTATTTTCTTATATTTAATTTGAGCATAGAATATGTTTAAACAATAATTCGAAGAAATGCCATGACCTGGGGCATTTAAGCTTCAGCTTAAACGGGGCCAATCAAATATGAGCAAACGTGATAAAAGACAACAAAAGAATAAGAATGCGACAAAGTTTAGTTATCATCTATCAATTATTTCAGAAGGAAATGATGTTCAGAGGTTTTCTATTTTTACCTTTAGCGGCCCCTAAAAAGGAGCCAATAAAATAAATATTAGCAAACTTGATAAAAAACTACCCATGAATGCTACAGACAAAGTTTGGTGATCAATTGTAGAAATAGATATTTAAAAATATTTCTATTTTTAGCTTTAGCGACCCCTAGAAAGGGCCGATGAAATTAATATGAGCAAACATGATAAAAGACTACCCAAGAATGCTACAGACAATGTTTGGTGATTATTCATTTATTAGTTCTGTAGAAATAGACGTTTAAAGGTATTTCCATATTTAGCTTTAGCTGCCCCTATAAGGGTCCAATCAAATTTTTATGAGCAAACTTGATAAAAGACTTTCAAGGAAGTCAGACAACCTTTGGTGATCATCCATCAATAAGTTCTGTCGTAGAAGATGTTTACAGGTTTTTTTTATTTTTAGCCCTAGAGACCCCTAAAAGGGGCCAATCAAATTAAATAGAGCAAACTTGATAATTAGAGTACCAAAGAATGCCACAGACAAATTTTTGTGATCATCCATCAATTAGTTCTGTAGAATAGACGTTTGAAAGTATTTCTATTTTTAGCTGTAGCGGCTCCTAAAAGAGGCCAAAAAATTAATATGAGCAAACTTGATAAAAGACTACCGAAGAATGCCACAGACAAAGTTTGGTGATCGTCCATCAATTAGTTCTGTAGAAAAAGATGTTTACAAGTTTTTTCTATTTTTATCCCTAGAGACCCCTAAAAGGGGCCAATCAAATTAATATGAGCAAACTTGATAATAAACTACCCAATACTGCTGCAGACAACGTTTGGTGATCATCCATCAATTAGTTCTGATGAAATAGACGTTTAAATGTATTTCTATTTTTAGGTTTAGCGTCCTCTATAAGGGGCCAATAAAATTAATATGAGCAAACTTGATAAACGACTACCGAAATATGCCACAGACAAAGTTTGGTGATCATCCATCAATTAGTTCTGTAGAAAAAGATGTTTACAGGTTTTTCTATTTTTAGCCCTAGAGACCCCTAAAAAGGGCCAATCAAATTAAATAGAGCAATATTGATAAAAGACTACCCAAGAATGCTACAGAATGCTACAGATGTTTAAAGGATTAAATAGAGCAATATTGATAAAAGACTACCCAAGAATGCTACAGAATGCTACAGATGTTTAAAGGATTTTCTATTTTTAGCCCTAGAGACTCCTAAAAGGGCCAATCAAATTAATATGAGCAGACTTGATAAATGACTACCAAAGGATTGGTGATCATCCATCTATTAGTTCTGTAGTAGAAGATGTTTAAAGGTTTCACTCTGTCGACCCCTAAAAGTGGCCAATTGAAATGACATGAACAAATTCTAGTGTGACTGTCACAAGGATCATACAGACCAAATTTGAAGTAAATCTGCCCAGCAGTTTCAGAGAAGAAGACGATTGTTGACGCATTACGTCAGACACCGCCGTAGCATCCCCCTTTGATACTAATAGCTCACCCTGAACCTTCGGTTCTGTTGAACTAAAAACATAAAATGTAACATAAACAAAAACAAAAAGAAACACAAAACTAAAAACAACAACCACAAAAATAGAAAACGATACTTATACACTGTATATAATGAATGGTAACACATATTCTTTGTCTTCAAAATACCTTGCTACATAGGAAATTTGAAATGTGCTCATTTTTTTAAATGAATCATTTTTTTAAACGTTGTTCTCATACCATATTATTTTATGTGCTATATTTCTTATGCATATTTTCTTAATATCATTAATATAATAGCAAGTTCGCTTATTCAACAGTTAACATATCTATTAAACAAACATTTTTTGATTTCTTTCATGAGTTGTATGTTATTAATAAAGTTGCTAGTAAAAATTGTTCATATGTGCTCATATGCTGTCAAGTCCCTTTGAAAGTTACAAAATTAAATTTAGAAAGGTGTTACACAAAAAAATTACATAACTGAACCCCCTTAGCTTTTTTTCATTGTACTTCTTGCGTTTTAAATGTTTCGATTTACAGAAAATTGCCATTTCCCAAATTTTACTGTTGGAGGAAAACATCTGTTTCCCCTCTGTGCATTTTGTCAGGCAGGAGTTTCCTCATGAGTAGAACCACATGCCACCCCAAAAAGTTAAGTGTTGACAGTCAGTTGAAAATAAGCCAAACCTCTAAAGGCACATTATGTTGCTGTATTAAAATTATTTTCCTTCTCATGTTTTTACATTGTTTCAATAATGTTACATCTTGATCACCTGAAGAAAATAACGGTGAATGTGAAATTATTTGTCATAAAAGTAGACAAATGACAACAAAGTAGTATTTTAACGTAAAAAATACTGAATCTCTGTGCTAATTGACAAATTTAAATTAGCAAAGGATAGTTAAAGTCATCCGTCAGTGTGTAATTTTTTTTAACTAAAAAAGGTCATAAACAACAGTTTTTGAGAAATAAAAAGCATTTCTTGAGCAGTATGATCCTTTAATTTAACAAACACAAAGGCAACTCTAAGCATAATCTAATGCATGTTTTATGATTTGATGAGAAGAGTTTATTACAAGATGAATCAAAATAAACAATGATTTATTATGTATGTGATTTATATTGTCGCAATATGATTATATCGAATTATTCAGTTTTGTAAACAATTTGAAAGCCAAGTAAGTCAAAACGTCCTCAAGTCTGAAAGTCCTGATTTTGTATTAGATCTTCTCCAATTTTAGCTAAAATAAAGACTTACAGCACATGTTTTCAGTATCTGTTACTAGGCAATGCTACATGTCAAGACTAGAGATCAGTTATTAATTAAAACACATTTCCCATTATAAATCTATGTAAATCCCTATGGCACGGCCAGTTTTGATCCTGAAGCCTTATTTTAGACTTAATATCTAAATTATTTTGTAAAGGACTATGTGCAAATATCAAAGCTCTTAGCATGAGTATTGTAGTTTCTGAAAAGATGCAAAAAAATCTTTCCAGTACAAGTCAATGCAACATATATGATTCCCATGTTATTAAAGGTGTTAAAATAAGTTTTGGACAATGACAGATACATCATTTTAACAACACAAAAAGTCATATCTGAGCAGGTTGTGATGATAATGTGTTCATTTTTTCATTTATACACTTATACTCAAATACAATAGGCATGTATGATTTTTGACAATATTTGTTCAACACATTATGAGAACATTTGTATGCCCATGCCAAACAGTTTTAGAAAGTCCCTAACACTGTACAGATAAGTGATAAAACTGTATGTTAATTTGACTACATTGTGTTAATAGTCTTTTACGTATAGGATATCGACCGAGTACGAGGTGTTTCTGTTAAGGAAAGACCTGGTCACGAATTTCATGTGTTTCATGAAATTCGTTACCAGGTCTTTCCTAAACAGAAAGATCGATGTACGAGGCCGATATCCAACTTACACACCGTAAAACTATATTGGCTTGAGCAATAATTTGATGTAATGCACAACTATTATTATTAACACAGCGCATATACAGGTAAGCTTTAATCAATGCTCTACTTAAATACAATACATATCTTGCATCTTAACTTAGTTTTTCGCTTTAAAATAATAATTAAAAAAAGCTAAATGTGCAATATGCCAATAAAAAAGTGAATAGGTCTGAAATGGAAGGTATGTTAAAGAATGCATAATTATGTTGATATTATTTCGTATCAGACATCGCGGAATCTAGGACATTTGCCCCCGGACAGTTGCCCCCTAGGACATATGTCTCTTTTATTTTATTGTTGCGACTTGTCACTTGTCAGAGGTCATCTCGAGTATAGATTTTTTTGTATGTCAATGGAAATATTAAAGTTCATTTTTATGCTATTTTGATTTTCACAAATTTGCGCGAGAGTTTTTGTGTATTTAAAGCAGCACGCCTGTAAATTTTCATGAAAATTGTGGAAAAAATATTTTAAGGTGAACAAGTGATTTACATATTGCAATCGGCACTGACAATCCAAGAAAATAACTAAAAAGGTCGTCAACATATGCAAAAGTAGCCCTTACTGCGTTAGCTACTCAGTAGAAATATGGTAATAGAATACTGCAAAATCATTCGTAAACCGCATATTACATGAAAAATATAACTTGGACCTTCCTTGAATGCTTTTACCTTTCTTAAAATTTTATTACTTTTTCAATATTGATTTTCTTTAAATATTTTGGCTCATCTGGAGGCGTGCAGCTTTAAGGCGATAGAAACAATTCAACAATTAAATATTTTAACGTTTTTAAAACAGGCGGGGGGGGGGGCAAATTTCCGACACTTCCAAAGATATGCGGGGGCAAATGACAGCCACTGCAAAGAGGGGGACCCTTCCGAGGTGGCAACTGTCCGAAGGGTAATTTCCGTATATCCAGCAGACCACGAAATACTTACATATGTATATTGTTGACAAGTGTGAGAAACATAAACCGAAACTCGTATATTTTATATGGCAGATTATATAGTGTTCTAGAATAAAATATTATTGTTC